ACACGTGTCTTGAGTGGAGTCAAGATTATATAATAACTTGGGAGCACGGACGACTGGAGGCAATATCAAAGTTTGTGCAAGTGAGAGGTAATACGCAGAACAGAAATATATTTTGACCTGCAGTGTGGTAGTTGAACACAGCATCGATAAGACGAAACGAGCACTGTTAATTGTGCAGACAAAATTAGCAATGAAGTGTTTTATTATTGAAGTCAACGATCACTGTGAGTGGACCAAACATGACCGGGCATGGTGATGACTGTGACTACTGCCCTCTAAAGAGCAAATCACAACCAGACTGCGACAAGACGAAATTATAGAGTCCGAGTGAAAGTGCAGTCCAACATAATTTTGTAACCTCCTGAGAGACTGGGGCACACCGTGGAAAATCAAAACATGTGGAGTGATGTTAAAAGGATCATTACGGCGCGTAGAGCCAATTGCCGTAGAAATGGGCGCAGAGGCGAACACACCGTGCAGTACCATTCAGTGGGCCACTAGGGGCATGGTACTGGGTGCGAGCAGAAGAGAGCCAGATGAGTCTTACCGGCAGAGTAGGCGATATCAGTCTCCGCCAGAGCCGCAGGTAATCGCCACAGAGTCGGTCACTGTGAGAGTGTGGTGGGGGCGGCTGGCCGTAGGGGGGAGGGCATGTGAGCACGAGTCACCCTGGCAAAAGGGTTAAGCACGTGATGGGCCGGGGTGAGGAACGTGGGCCAAAGGCGAACGAGGGGACACGGGAAGAGTAGCCGAGAAACGTCTGGAGAGTTCCTGGTTAAGGGCGGAGGCAGATAGGGGAACAGGTGCGGTGTAGCCTGGAATATTCCAGAGGTAGGCGCGGCCGAGGGTGGAGCCAGGCCGCGCCGGGTAGGATAAAAAGGGAGCTCCGATCGTATATCGGGGCTGTCTGCAGGTGAAGTGGAAATCAAGTGCCACGTCTCCGTCTTGGACATCGTGGGTCAGGCAACACGTTGGCTGCTCTGACACCTATCTCTCACAAGAGTGAGAGATAGGTGTATTGTGGTGCCGTGTGTAACAAGAGTGAGAGATAGGTGTATTGTGGTCCCGTGTGTAACAAGAGAGAGAGAGATAGGTGTATTGTGGTGCCGTGTGTAACAAGAGTGAGAGATAGGTGTATTGTGGTCCCGTGTGTAACAAGAGAGTGAGAGATAGGTGTATTGTGGTCCCGTGTGTAACAAGAGTGAGAGATAGGTGTATTGTGGTCCCGTGTGTAACAAGAGTGAGAGATAGGTGTATTGTGGTCCCGTGTGTAACAAGAGTGAGAGATAGGTGTATTGTGGTCCCGTGTGTAACAAGAGTGAGAGATAGGTGTATTGTGGTCCTATGTGTAACACGAGAGAGAGATAGGTGTATTGTGGTCCCGTGTGTAACAAGAGTGAGAGATAGGTGTATTGTGGTCCCGTGTGTAACACGAGAGAGAGATAGGTGTATTGTGGTCCTATGTGTAACACGAGAGAGAGATAGGTGTATTGTGGTCCCGTGTGTAACAAGAGTGAGAGATAGGTGTATTGTGGTCCCGTGTGTAACACGAGAGAGAGATAGGTGTATTGTGGTCCTATGTGTAACACGAGAGAGAGATAGGTGTATTGTGGTCCCGTGTGTAACAAGAGTGAGAGATAGGTGTATTGTGGTCCCGTGTGTAACAAGAGAGAGAGAGATAGGTGTATTGTGGTCCCGTGTGTAACAAGAGAGAGAGAGATAGGTGTATTGTGGTCCCGTGTGTAACACGAGAGAGAGATAGGTGTATTGTGGTCCCGTGTGTAACAAGAGAGAGAGAGATAGGTGTATTGTGGTCCCGTGTGTAACACGAGAGAGAGATAGGTGTATTGTGGTCCTATGTGTAACACGAGAGAGAGATAGGTGTATTGTGGTCCCGTGTGTAACAAGAGTGAGAGATAGGTGTATTGTGGTCCCGTGTGTAACACGAGAGAGAGATAGGTGTATTGTGGTCCTATGTGTAACACGAGAGAGAGATAGGTGTATTGTGGTCCCGTGTGTAACAAGAGTGAGAGATAGGTGTATTGTGGTCCCGTGTGTAACAAGAGTGAGAGATAGGTGTATTGTGGTCCCGTGTGTAACAAGAGTGAGAGATAGGTGTATTGTGGTCCCGTGTGTAACAAGAGTGAGAGATAGGTGTATTGTGGTCCCGTGTGTAACAAGAGTGAGAGATTGGTGTATTGTGGTCCCGTGTGTAACAAGAGTGAGAGATAGGTGTATTGTGGTCCCGTGTGTAACAAGAGTGAGAGATTGGTGTATTGTGGTCCCGTGTGTAACAAGAGTGAGAGATAGGTGTATTGTGGTCCCGTGTGTAACAAGAGTGAGAGATAGGTGTATTGTGGTCCCGTGTGTAACAAGAGTGAGAGATAGGTGTATTGTGGTCCCGTGTGTAACAAGAGTGAGAGATTGGTGTATTGTGGTCCCGTGTGTAACAAGAGTGAGAGATAGGTGTATTGTGGTCCCGTGTGTAACAAGAGTGAGAGATTGGTGTATTGTGGTCCCGTGTGTAACAAGAGTGAGAGATAGGTGTATTGTGGTCCCGTGTGTAACAAGAGTGAGAGATAGGTGTATTGTGGTCCTATGTGTAACACGAGAGAGAGATAGGTGTATTGTGGTCCCGTGTGTAACAAGAGTGAGAGATAGGTGTATTGTGGTCCCGTGTGTAACAAGAGTGAGAGATAGGTGTATTGTGGTCCCGTGTGTAACAAGAGAGTGAGAGATAGGTGTATTGTGGTCCCGTGTGTAACAAGAGTGAGAGATAGGTGTATTGTGGTCCCGTGTGTAACAAGAGTGAGAGATAGGTGTATTGTGGTCCCGTGTGTAACAAGAGTGAGAGATAGGTGTATTGTGGTCCTATGTGTAACACGAGAGAGAGATAGGTGTATTGTGGTCCCGTGTGTAACAAGAGTGAGAGATAGGTGTATTGTGGTCCCGTGTGTAACACGAGAGAGAGATAGGTGTATTGTGGTCCTATGTGTAACACGAGAGAGAGATAGGTGTATTGTGGTCCCGTGTGTAACAAGAGTGAGAGATAGGTGTATTGTGGTCCCGTGTGTAACACGAGAGAGAGATAGGTGTATTGTGGTCCTATGTGTAACACGAGAGAGAGATAGGTGTATTGTGGTCCCGTGTGTAACAAGAGTGAGAGATAGGTGTATTGTGGTCCCGTGTGTAACAAGAGAGAGAGAGATAGGTGTATTGTGGTCCCGTGTGTAACAAGAGAGAGAGAGATAGGTGTATTGTGGTCCCGTGTGTAACACGAGAGAGAGATAGGTGTATTGTGGTCCCGTGTGTAACAAGAGAGAGAGAGATAGGTGTATTGTGGTCCCGTGTGTAACACGAGAGAGAGATAGGTGTATTGTGGTCCTATGTGTAACACGAGAGAGAGATAGGTGTATTGTGGTCCCGTGTGTAACAAGAGTGAGAGATAGGTGTATTGTGGTCCCGTGTGTAACACGAGAGAGAGATAGGTGTATTGTGGTCCTATGTGTAACACGAGAGAGAGATAGGTGTATTGTGGTCCCGTGTGTAACAAGAGTGAGAGATAGGTGTATTGTGGTCCCGTGTGTAACAAGAGTGAGAGATAGGTGTATTGTGGTCCCGTGTGTAACAAGAGTGAGAGATAGGTGTATTGTGGTCCCGTGTGTAACAAGAGTGAGAGATAGGTGTATTGTGGTCCCGTGTGTAACAAGAGTGAGAGATTGGTGTATTGTGGTCCCGTGTGTAACAAGAGTGAGAGATAGGTGTATTGTGGTCCCGTGTGTAACAAGAGTGAGAGATTGGTGTATTGTGGTCCCGTGTGTAACAAGAGTGAGAGATAGGTGTATTGTGGTCCCGTGTGTAACAAGAGTGAGAGATAGGTGTATTGTGGTCCCGTGTGTAACAAGAGTGAGAGATAGGTGTATTGTGGTCCCGTGTGTAACAAGAGTGAGAGATTGGTGTATTGTGGTCCCGTGTGTAACAAGAGTGAGAGATAGGTGTATTGTGGTCCCGTGTGTAACAAGAGTGAGAGATTGGTGTATTGTGGTCCCGTGTGTAACAAGAGTGAGAGATAGGTGTATTGTGGTCCCGTGTGTAACAAGAGTGAGAGATAGGTGTATTGTGGTCCTATGTGTAACACGAGAGAGAGATAGGTGTATTGTGGTCCCGTGTGTAACAAGAGTGAGAGATAGGTGTATTGTGGTCCCGTGTGTAACAAGAGTGAGAGATAGGTGTATTGTGGTCCCGTGTGTAACAAGAGAGAGAGATAGGTGTATTGTGGTCCCGTGTGTAACAAGAGTGAGAGATAGGTGTATTGTGGTCCCGTGTGTAACAAGAATGAGAGAGAGATAGGTGTATTGTAGTCCCGTGTGTAACAGGAGTGAGAGATAGGTGTGTTGTGGTCCCGTGTGTAACAAGAGTGAGAGATAGGTGTATTTAGTCCCGTGTGTAACAAGAGTTAGAGATAGGTGTATTGTGGTCCCGTGTGTAACAAGAGTGAGAGATAAGTGTATTTAGTCCCGTGTGTAACAAGAGTTAGAGATAGGTGTATTTAGTCCCGTGTGTAACAAGAGTGAGAGATAGGTGTATTGTGGTCCCGTGTGTAACAAGAGTGAGAGATAGGTGTATTGTGGTCCTCGTGTGTAACAAGAGAGAGAGATAGGTGTATTTAGTCCCGTGTGTAACAAGAGAGAGAGATAGGTGTATTGTGGTCCCGTGTGTAACAAGAGTGAGAGATAGGTGTATTTAGTCCCGTGTGTAACGGTGTTACGTAAATGTAGAATGAACATTGTTGCCTCATAAATAGTGTCTCTGAATGACTCACTACACGTGTAATTGGCTATATAGTTAAAATAAATCGATTTGCCAACTTCGCCGATTAGCCGACCCGAGGGAGAACATGTGCACGTCCCTCAAACCAACACTGACGTCGAATAAGACTCAGACTATGGCTAAAATTACATGAAAAAAACGCTTAAATTAACTGTGACGTGAGCGCTTACCACGAGAGAGATTGGCCGCTTCCATGATATGACTCCTATGAGACCAGACAGCAGCACCTGTGGGGAAATAAACGCATATTTACAGTGCCATCATCACCTTCATCGTAATCATATTAACCGTTAAGATTCAGCCGTGCCGCTCAATGGTGGAGGCTGTGGGTTTGAGCAACAATGCCAGTACCTCCACGACGACGAACGGGGTTAACGATTGAGCTGAACAGTTTTGGCGCAGTTGAAAAAAAAATCAAATTTACTTTGGAGATGAAAATTAAACATTGCATTGTTCTGTAAAAGCCAACACATCAATTGACGGGGGTCAATGAGAAAAAGCCACGTGCGAGTTTTGTCGCAAAGTTGGACCTCTGATGACGCGCGTGCAGTTTTTTTTTCTCTCTCTCCGCAACTCATTAACGCCAGCCTTTTAAAGGCCGTAATTCTACAAGTTCACTTCAGATTAGTATCAAATGTGCAGAAGGAAAGGAGCCCCGGGGGTTGTTTTTTTGTGTCATAAATAAATAAGCAGGGGGATCTGTGTTTTGTGGCTACGGCACCGACGGGAATCAATCCCAACACAACAATCCACTATTGCGGAGGGTGTCAAAGATGGCATGCCATGTCGCCGTGGTGACCATTGGGGAGCGACAGAGGCTGTTGTCAAGGCGTCAAAAGTCTCCCCTGTAACTTGTGGCGGCCACACTCTCAGCGAGCCTCTACATCTCCAAGTGGCACCAGCCAAGCTGGACAGGCTCCACACACAAAAAAAGCAATCCATATATCCTACACCCGGGCAGCAGTGGAGTATGGCCACAGGACAGGGATGCCCAGAGGAGTTGGAGTGGGTGGGGGGCAGAGGTGGGGTGGGTCAGGGCGGGGAAAGGGGAAAAGTGCCACAGCCCAAAAACCAAAAAATGGCCCCACAACACATTTTTGATTTCCTCACGCGGCATTCAGCCCCAGGCCTAAACGGAACCGATGGGCAGCCCTTGGCCCTGGGACCGCCAGCTCTGCGGTAAGTAAAAAAAAACAACCATATACTTTAATGGGAAGAAGAGTATCTCAGAATACCAGCAGAGGTTGAAAACTCAACGGATTTGCTTGACAAACACCAGAAGTTGAAAATGTCCAGAGAAGACTTACACATTTCTCAGGATAGCCACCTCAAAAAGAGACGCTGTCGCTTGGAAAACCAGGGTAGGTGGCAACTCTATTAGGCCCTGATGCAAAGACTGAAATGCCCCCTTACCCCACCCCCCGTCTGCCTCCCCCCGCTTTGTAGCCAAACACCTGAGACCCTCCAGCTGCATGGGTCACGGTACAGTTGCACCACCTGCACACTCGATGGTTATTACTCCACTGCACCTTTGTAAGTGTTAACGTGGGACACCAGCTGTGGGCGACACCATTACAAGCTGCATTCACACTCGGGCATGAGTTCACAAAGAGGTATTTTGTGAACTGAGCTGAATTTGCACGAACCACATCTTCACACGACTTAGAGAAAAGCCATACTGACACACAATGGCTAAGATCCCCGTTTAGCCTTAGAGATCACAGGGGTAAGTGCTGTTAGCAGGCACCTACTAAGGCCAGCATTGGCACGTGGGCACCGCGCCTAGCCACCTGTGTCTCTCTCCAGTGCTGTTTACACAACGCGCAAAATTACTCAATTAAGGCTGAGTCGGAGGCTCAGATGGCCTCTGCCGCTGGCATTTTCTATGTTGGGGAATTAAACCTCGCTCTCCGGAACTGTAGTGTAATGTTCAAAGTGTGCGAACCACACAACGCATAAAGATCCCTATGGGTAGCCGTCTGGAGGTAAGATTCCCACGGTCACTCCCAGCCAAACCTCCCTCCTGTTCCTCTCCACTTGCATAAGGAACATGGAGTTCTGATCGCAGTGTGGTTTTATTGTACAACATCTCATATCTGATCCATCACATGTAAGCCTTGACCAATTAACTGCCCATGCGCAGTGCCCTATTTGTGCATTGGTGTAACTGGTATCGGCTTCCTCCAGGCTTCCTCCAGTCTAAATAAATATTCTGATTCTGTCGTTTAACATGGATGTTAGCAAATGTAACAAAATATCACATACAGTGTCGTATTCTATTCCTTTTCTCGCGCACATTTGCTTATTTACTAAAAGCTGTAAATAATATTCCCGTGTTTAAAAAGCCATTTGCACTTTAGCTTCATCCAATAACCTATTTTGGCAATAGTGGTATGACTGTCACGTGCTATAGATGATCACATACTTTTCACATCCGCCAAAACTGCAGTCCATCGAAGAGTGGGACACGCGACGTTGTCCTTTATTTCCTTTGTCTTTTGAACAAGTGATGTTTTTTTCTCCAGAATAATCTCCCCCAAGTGTAAGCTGAGCTTTCTTCCACTGCCCCCCTGCCCTGCCAGCAGATTGCTGTGCAGATATACGCAGCGCAGTCAACATCAGAGAGAATCACACGCAGCAATGTTCTGAAGGTAATAAAGTCGGTTTCCATTCGACGTAACATCGGATGGTTCTCATCTCCTCTTTACAGGGATTGAGCCGGCGGTGGAAATTCCACATTATTATGGAAGGGGGAAAGTATATCCATAAAACAACACCACTGTTGACTTCCACCAAATCGGTCGTCATTGTATTGATCCCAGAGGGATTATGGGCTGAGATTTTGAACTTGCTTCCTTCCAATTTGCGGTTCGATCGTTCTGCAATTGTGCCACCAAGATAGATAATTTCAATATGGTATTCTGCACCGTACCATAAACAAGAGCTGTGGCCTTCACAGTTAACCTTTGGAATAACGTTGAGAGTAAGATAATGAAGGCCTCTGCACACCATGTCGATCGTGGGAGGTCGTTTGACCATACTTCACCGTGCCGGTCATTGCAGGACCCGGTTCAGATATCACTCGGCACCAATGCTATCCACGGCTATTAATCGAACTGACGTTGCCGAGATCAGAGTGCAATACTTTTAGCCACTGCACCCCCCCCAACAATACAAAACAACGACACTGTTCGGTGTAGCATATACAGCGAGTTCGCCAACGTGCTGTAATGTTGAACTTCTTTCGCACCGTACGTAGCCAACCGTGAGATACAGGGGAAGCGCTACAAACTAAACACAGAAAGCAGTTCTAGAGCGATGAGTTTTCAATCGAGATTATTTAAAAGTGCATAGCTCTGGAGGCTTCCTAACATCGCAAGGAAAGGGCGTTGTGGAGAGCGTACGCAACGCAGGTACACAATAATGGCGAGACCTCTGGCGCGACTACATCTTGCTGTAAGGCACTTTTAAAAGGGTTATAATTTGGCACGCAAAGTGGACGCAACCGGCATCTCGATTTTCGTCGATTTCTCCCCGCGCACCTTTGCGCCCTGAGGAGCTCATAAAGCAGAAGGATGTGAGGGCGAGCAAGCCTCCTTATCTTATCCTGTTCACCTACTTCAATATGTATCTTCTTCACACTTAATAAATAGAGACTAGAACACAGCTGCTGGCCAGGACAGTGCCTGCGATAACTCGGTCAAAATCAAATTTTAAAAAAGCCATTACAGATTTCATTATCAGTTGTAATCAGTGCTGCTGCTGCTGTTCCACAGGTCTTGCCGCGGTGACAAGAACTACCGGGTCCTAGGCTTTAGTGAAATGGGCGGAGGGGGGAATCAAAACAAAAGGCAAAAATGAAAAGACAGGAGAGAAAAAACGAAGAGGGATTTCATTCTGATACATTATTGCACTGCGCTGCCATCGATCATACATATCACAGGCAGCACTGTAGGGCAGACTTATTGAAAAAACCGTAGGCTCAGCTGGCTTTGTACACACGCGCACCTGCACATCCGATCCATCACTCGGCGAGACACAAACGGCGATTGATTTCGGGACGTCGTGTGTGCCAGCGAGGCAAAGCTCTGGTTAAAAAACGTCGGGTAAAATGTTAACGAAAAGGGATTGGGGTGCAAGTTTTTAAAAAATATATATATTTTTTTTATATTACACGCTTGGGGAAATTGATACGAACACATTTTTTTTATTATTTTACTTATTTAATTGTCTTTGACGACACCACCCGCAAATTCTTCCGATATCATATTTTGGAAGCCAAGCAGAGTTAAGCCCGGGGCGTGTTCTGTATGCGTGACCACCAATGCACAAAACAGGGACTGCGGGCTGCTGTGGAGCTACATTGTCAGCAACGAGTAGCGCAGTGAAATCCATCGTTGTACTCAACTCTGCTCCCACGTCCATGCTCCCCGCCTTCACCAACCCACGCTGACCAGCGTGGTGAAGTATGGTGAAATAACCGCCACGACCCACACACTGTGATGCGGCTCTCATCCACCAGTATGTTAAAAGGGATATACATGTTCTCACATGAATGCGATTAGTCAGTGCTCTACTATTACTCTGACACATTACAATTGTATGAAAGCGGTCAAGCGTCTCTCTGTACCAAATGAGCAATGAGATTGTCATTACCATAAGCTGTCCTGGTCCAGTGGTGGAAATTCCACATTAGCCTGGCATGAAATCCAGCCTCTCCACAGGACGAAAGCCACTGTTGACTTCCCAAAAAGTGGTAGCGATTTTAAACACCCCAAAGAAATGTAAATAAAGTCGACTTTCAACCAGAATTTGAACTCCATCGCGAGTCAAGTGCCCAAACCACAGTGCCACACAACAGGATATTTAATTACATGAATGTCAGATGATATCGTGTTCAGCTTAACAGCTGGTAACAATTTGTCTTCGACATTGAATAGCTGCTGATTTCTTTTTGCCAACTCCCACAACAGTGTTTAGTTAAATAAACAACGTCGCGGTGATAGCAATCACAGCCATACGCGATAGGCACTATATATATTTATCCTTGAGAAGTCACGTAAAATCGCACCCGCAGCGCAACTGCGATCCTTTCATTATTTTGAACGCCTCTGTGAAGTCAAGAGTCTTTTTGGGCAGCGTTTATTTAGCAAAGGCGTTATACAATACATGATACATCCATTGCAGATGTATCCTTTGCGGGTTAAAACAAATGTAAAGGTTGAAG